ACCAATAAGGTTTTGCAAAAAAGTTGCAATAAACTTCAGCATTAAAATATTTTATAGATCATTGGATTTTTCATTAATTACTTGTCCTATGTTACCTGGACTTGTACACAAACTAAAGTTTCTTATGCTTTATGCTTCGCCATTACTCTTTTTTAGCAAGTCACAACACTTGCAGTACTTTTTTTTTAAAACAAGTCACAGTACTTGCAGTTTTTCAATCTATAAATTTCAAACTTGTATATTTGCAGTGTTTTAACAAAATAATATCTAGTCAACTCTCTGGAAACGATATCTGCAACAAGCTGAAACTTTTTCATGCAATGTTCTTTAGCTTTGATATCCATTTAATTAACCAACCTTTAATAGTTTTTAAATCTTTCAAATAGCGCTTTGGCTGTTTCAAACTAAAAAACAAATAAAATGTTATTAAAAAGAAATAATAATGGTTTGTTTATTTTTTATCTCATATAGTTTTGTCTTGGCTTTTAATGAATGATTACAAAAATAAATTTCTTTTCGCTAGTCACAACACTGGTAGCATTTTTCAGCAATTCATTTGTAGTACTTTTTTAGCTTAAATTTCAAACTTGTACTTTCACAGTGTTTTATTAATATAATATAAAATTAATAAAATTGTAACTCTTCTGAAATAACATCTGCAACAAGCTGGATCTTTTTCATGCAATGGTCAACAGCTTCCATGTATGTTTCATCATCTTTCCAGTAAGAAATAGTGTAAACTAAGTCATTTTTTCAACTAAATACTTTTTCTACTCTGCCATTATACAAAACAGGCTTGGATGTTTAGGATCATATCATTCATGATATAGTTTTTTGCCTACAATTCTTCAATACATGATATCTTCTAAATTATAAAGTTGGTCATAGACAAATTTTTGTATGAACCTATAATTTTATCATAACTCAATTTGGATAGCTAACGCTTTAACTTTTTTTGCTCTAACTTTTTTCTGTTTCATCGATTTTTTGGCACTTGGATGTCTGTCTTTGGGAAATATTGGCTCTAATTTTAGCCTGATGCAATCGATTGCTAACTCTATTTATACGCGTTACATGAACTTGCATTTAATTACTTTATCTCTCAAATTAATAATATAGTAACGTTACCAGCTGCAACAGATGACAGGGATATTAAAGATTAAATAATACAATGACACAAAAGATTAAATGGTACATGTAAATATTACATATTAAATATACATATATAGTACATATTAAATATACAATAACATAGTACATATTAAATAGTACAATACTGCATAATCCACAAAATCAGACTATATTTCTCAATACATACACATAAAAATACACAGTAAATGTTGCTAAAGAGTTAAAAAGAAATAACAATAATAATAACAATAAAAAAGTAATAACAATAGTAATATCATGTTTACTAAAATAATTTTAATTTCAAGTTACAAATTTTGCTACAACATCTTTAGTTAGTGTGTATCAATAAATTAAACACCTTTAGCTTGTGTATCAATTAAGTAATAATCTTTAGTTAGCATGTATCATTAAACTATACTATTGAAATTATTAAAATTTACCAAAATTACAAATCTGCTGTCTAAATTCACCTAAAATCCAACTTTAAATTACTTACTTTATTATAAGATTAATTTATAACACTAACATTACAAAAAAAAAAAAAGTTTAAATGACTAAATAACTAAAATATTTTAAACTTTTTTTACTTATAATTTGTTCTAAATTGCCTGTAGAAAAAAAATAACAATGATTCAATTAAAAGCATGAAACAATCAGCAATATATAAATAAACAACTTTAAAAAAAAATTGTGGATGCTCAAAAATCTGCACAAAAAACATAGCATAATAAAGATATATAATTGAATATTGAGTAAAAGACTAAATACTAAAATAATAAATCGCAAAAAAAAACTGACTTAACCTCTCAAAAGTATCATCTTAAAAACAAATGAAAAGCTTTTTTAAACAAAATAATAAAAACATTTGTCTAGACGAAATCTATTGATCTTAAGTTAAAAAAAACTAATGAATATTGAATGTGTAAAATAACTAACTGATATATATCAGTATATATATATATATATATATATATATATATATATATATATATATATATATATATATATATATATATATATATATATATTATACATAAAAGTTGAATAAAGTTGCTAACATATATTAGTTATATATGACCATATTATATCTGTATCAACTGTAATAAATAGTATAAATATTATTTATTACAGTTGAAAGATTAACAATTAATCATTAAAAAAAAAAGTCTAGTTTTTACCTAGACTTTTTTAGAAAAAGATGCATGATACAACAAGTAGTAGCATATTGCAATTGTTATTGGAGAGACTTACAATGTAAGATAAAATATGTTATAATATTACAAATATGTCAGTTACATTTTTAAAAAATTCAACTTTAAAGTAGAAAACATTATAACTTTACATTGAAGGCAAATAATTTATAAATAATTTAATAAATAGGAAACAATATTAAAAACTTTTATCAATATCTTTAATTTCCATTTTATTTAATCTAAAAAAAAAAACTGAAAATTTTATTTAATCAAAATCAAATATAAACAATGTTTATTTAACCCCTCTGTCTCCCGCGACCACTTCAGCAAAGTGAAAATTAGGTACCAAAAGTGCGACAAAAAATAGGCACCCTGCTATAACTTTTTTTTCAATGAAATTTTCCAGGTTCATAGATAAATGAAAAACTTAAAAAAAAGAATAGTATAGAAAAAAAAATGAGCATATCTTCGACATTAATTTCATGCCCAAAGTATAACAAGGTTTTAGACATCAAAAAACTCAATAAAAAAGCCATCTAGTAAAATAATAAACCTCACAGTAATAAAGTTTAACTATTCTAGTTTCTAAAAATAATCTATACTGATATTAAATTCTAAAAAGTTTTTTAACTAAACACGTCTTCCCTACGCTAGCTAAAAAAAAATCTAAAAAAGCGTGGCACAGTTTTTTAGCACAATATTCGGTTCCGTAAAACGGATATTTCCACGTACCTAATATATATATATATATATATATATATATATATATATATATATATATATATATATATATATATATATATATATATATATATATATATATATATATATATATATATATATATATATATATATATATATATATATATATATATATATATATATATATATATATATATATATATATATATATATATATATATATATATATATAAAGAGTTTGATGCTTCGAAAAAATACAACTTTGTGATGGAACTTAAAGTTTCATGCCCTTTGGCAGTCATCAGCCATATTTTATTCTCTAAATTAAGAAAAAACCGTTAAAAATTACAAAATACAGAAATTAACAGAAAAACCCAAAATAAACCAATGGGAATGAGTTCTGGCGTCAAAACAAACAATTTTTTAATTAAAAAATGCTCAATTACCCGTGTCGAATAGGGCTAGAAGAAACTTGTTTCGATGCCTGCACTTGAATACCATTTCACTTTTTTTGTTTAGCAGATTTTTATTTTTGGAAAATAGAATTTCATATTTTTCGTTTGTGGATTGTTTGCAGGACTTCGTGGTTGGGTTGTAGGCATAGCACTGCTTAACTATTTTCCATATAACAAATAGGTTTATATTGGCATTTTTTAATTTCCAAAATTCTTTTGATAATTCGGTGTCATTTTTGTATTTTAGAATTTTAAATGATTTTATATGGTTAGCATATTTAACTTTGAATGATGTTTCACTTATACCGATGTAGAAATTGTTGACAGATATGTTATTAAGATTATTGGAACTTATATTGGCTTGGTATACAATGTTTTTTGTTAAGCATTGGTTTGAAAAAGGGCAGGTATTTTTATCAAGACAGTTGCATTTGGTTTTAGTTGAAATTTTTTGTTATTCATAATTTGTTGATTGTGTGCATTTAAAAAAGATTTCTTGTTCAATATACAGCTATATCTTATTTTTATCCTGTTTCTGTTGAAAATTTTGTGGATTTTTGTGGTTTATTGGGAAGAGTTTGTTGACTAAGGTTAAAAAGCTTTTTCCTACATTAGTGCTAACATTTTTGCTGAAAAGAGGGTTGAGCCATATGATATTACATATACGGTTTTTTCTATGAGGTAAATTTAAATTAGGGTGATATGAAAGTTTGTGATTAAAACCGGATCTTAATAGCGCGTCATTGTACATGGGAGTAGATTTTTGGAAAATTTCTTCACTTGACGAATTTGCGGACAATCTTAACTAAATTAAATTGGGAGGCTGCTTTAAAATATTAGACGGGTTGTTTGAATCAGCATGAATATAATTTAAAGAATATCCGGGCTTATAATATGGTTGAAAAGTATGGTCATTGAGATTTAATGTGACGTCAAGGTAATTTATAACTTTCATGTTGCACTGTATTGATATAGTGAGTTCATTTTTTTTTTAATATTTCAACAAAATGTTTTTTGATTTTTCCATTTGGGCACCATTCGTTTTTTCAAAAATTGCTACACTCTAAGAAAAAATCCGTTATATACAACGAATTGTATCTGTCGCTATTGCACTAACGGGAAATCCGTTAAGTTAACGAATTAAAATTTTAACAAATTGAACTCCGTTAGGAATAGTCCGTTGAAATTACGGATTTATTTCGTTAGTGCAACGAATAATCCGTTAAAATTAAGGAGTTATTACATTAGGCAGCAAACTTTCCGCGGTTGTTATTCCTATGAAATAAATGTGTTAATAAGTTATTTTAGTGATTATTTCGTTAAAATCACTAAAATCTAAAATTAGAGAGGCCAGAATTGTGACTTCATAACCAAATAATCCTTATACTTGATAATGTTTGCATTTTTATTTAATTGCATTATTTTATTTCGATATTCTACATTAAAACGTTTTAACCAAAAATTGAAAACTAATCAAATATTTAAAATATTTAATCCTACGTACTTTAAATTACAATAAAAATAGTTAAAAAAAATATTTTCAATACACTATACTCAAGCTAGTACATTTATATAAAACACACGCATATATAATAGATGTTTAAAATAAATCAATGCCAAGATATTAGTTTTTGGTCGCTAGTTTTGGTTTGGTTGGTTTAAATAGGTTTTGGTTTTGAATACTGTTGTTACTCGTACACAGTTTCGCACTTTAAATCGGGCACCATGCTGTCAACTCCTTAAAGATTAATATAAAATAAAATAAGGAAAATATGGAAACTTAATAACATACCTAGTATAAAACCACAATAAAATGTTACTGATTACACTATAGAAAATGTTTTTCGCAATGCATTATATATAAATTTCTATTCTAAATTTTGTTATTTTAATTATTTCTGATATCGTTTTCTAAAGATAAAGTTAAATGGAACAAGTAAATTATATCTTTATTAAAATGTAAATTAAAAAAAAAAGTATAAGATTACCTTGACATTATCTGATAACTGAAAGACTCTATACATTTCACATACATCAATACCTATTAGGATCAAAAAAAAAGGTCTCTAACCTTTTAAAAACTATCAAAACAAGATTAAATATGCAGACCAAAAAAAAACGCCAGCAACTATATAAAAAAATTAATTTTACAACTTATTTAAACTTACAATGTCATACCACTTGGCACATGTTTAAAATAGCTAATTCTAAAATAATAGTGAATATAGAATATAGTAGAATAATAGTTAAAAAAGTGTGATATAAACTTAGTCTTAACTAAACTAAATAAATATGCATGCCAAAAGAAATGCAAGTTAAAATACAATTTTTTTAAATTTACTAATTCAAACTTATAGTGGGATACCACATGTCACGTGTCTAAAACAGCAAATTCTAAAATATTATAAGCACACTAAATATAAACTTATTATTATTATTATTAAAAGTTGAAACTCAACTAAATAAATATGCACGCTTGTAGAAGTGCAAGTTACAATATAAATTTTACAACCAATATAAACTTACAGTATGACAGCTTATACCAAGTGTCTAAAATAGCAAATTCTGAAATAATATAAACAAGCCATACACAAACTTAGTTGTAATCTAATTATATAAACATGAACGTCAAAAGAAATGCAAGTTAAAATATATAATTTTTTTTAAGTTTACTAATTCAAACTTATAGTGAGATACCACATGTCACGTGTCTAAAACAGTAAATTCTAAAATAATACAAACACATCAAATATAAACTTAGATTAAACTCAACTAAATAAATATGCAAGTTACAATATAAATTCTACAACCAATTTAAACCTACAATGTGACACTAAATGCCGTGCCTCTAAAGCAGCAAATTCTAAGATAATATATAAATAACTCATATATAACCTTAGTTGTAACTCAATTAAATAAACATGAATGTTAAAAGAAATAGAAGTTCCAATATAAATTTTTTAATTTTACAACTAGTTTTAACTTACAGTGGGATAGCAAATGCCATGTGTCTAAAACAAAAAATTCTAAAATAATATAAACACACCAGTATAAACTTAGTTTATGATATTGGATGCTACATGTTTAATTTGGAAATTAATAAAAATTGCAATTTATAAAAGCATATTAACTAGCCATGTAAACTTAGCTGTAACTAACCTAAATAAATATACCTATCAAAGATGTTAACATTTTTAATTTTACAACTGATTTAAACTAATATGGTATGTTACTACATGTCATATATCTAAAATATAAAGTTAAAAAAGACCATAAATCATCCATTTAGTCTATATTATAGAAATAATTGTTCAACTAACCCTTTACTACTAGTAAAGGATTAGTTGAACTTTTATTTCTATAATATAGACTATATGGATTGCATATATTCTTGCATAATTTTCTATATTTAGACATGTAGTAACTTACCATATATGATATGTATTAACTTACCATATATGTTATTATATATTATTTAGTAATACTAATCGCTTTTAATTTAAAACAAAATAAAATTAAATTTTCTATATAAAGCTTTATATAGAAAATTTAAAATAATCTAAATAACCTTCGAAATTACAAACAACAGAGCGTAATTTAAGTAATATTTATCTATTTGGTTGTCTACTAAATGTAAAGCTTTTTAAAAAATGGCATATTACACTTACTGCAACCAACTTTTATCTATGATGTAAATGTAAATGTGAGAAAAACGCATTCAAAACTTTATCATTTTCAAAATAAAAAGCTATAATATACTGAAATTTTTTTTTTGACCGATTAAAATATTTAATCCGTTGAATTAAGTTTCAAAGAATCCGTAAATAGTTAATTTTACTCCGTTAATTTTCTGGTTTATTGTACGAATTTTACGAATTAATCCGTTAATTTAACGAAAAAGCGCAATCCGTTACTTTTTTTTAACGGACTGTTTTTAGAGTGTAATATGTAACTTTGATAGTTGACATCTTATCAGCAGGACGTAAGCAAACTGTATAAATGTAAACGTCACGCCAATGTTATTTTGACGTCTTTGTTTACGTTCTGCCAATAAGCACCCACCCATCAAAAATATGTAAAAATTACATCTTTATTTTTTTGGGTGTGGACAATATGCCAATGATTTTTTACGTCTTTGATTATGTCCTGCCGATGAGCAGCCGACCATTAAAAATATGTAAAAATTACATCTCTTTGTAACTTTTATATATTTTTTTATATGTCACGCCAATTTTGGCCCGATGCCAATATGTTATCTAGGATGGAAGCATAACATACTTAAATTAGTTATTTAACTTTGGTATACACTTTAAAAAGAACTTTGGATCCTTAGCAACACAAAATGTAGAAGATTTTTTTGATATACAAACTTCAAACTAATAAGAGAGACTAATTCAACCGGAAATTTTTGCATTGCGCCATTCCTTACAACAGGCTAAGTACTGCGCCAGTATTGGCTTACCAATAGTTGGCCGGCCAGTGCTGGCGAAGTACTGATTAAAATGTAAGACATTACTGCGCCAGTGCTGAAAAATAGCACTGGACTAATACCATAATCCAGCGTCGGCACAATACCGATTTCCGAGCCTCGCGAAAAGAATGTGCCAGAATTCAAGTACGTTTCTTTTACGATAATTAATTATACAAAAAAGTATAATTCACCTTCACCATTCACTTTGAAAAATGCAGCAAATTCTTATTAAAAACTATTGTTAAATGTTCTGTTAAAAACAGAACATTTAACAATAGTTTTTAATAATTTTTTCATCTTTGTCTTGGTAAATTTTGATTATCAGTCCGTATGTTGTTTAAAATTTCATAAATTATAAAACAAACTTTGCTATTATCACTTTTCTTTAATTTACTGTTACTAAAGCTTTAGTAACAGTAAGTTAAAGAAAAGTGATAATAGCAAAATTTGTTTTCTAATTTATAAAATTTTAAACAACATACAGACTGATAAAGTTGCTATTAATAGCAACTTTAAAGTTAAGTTATTTTTATAATACCAAGGTAATATATTTTATATATAGTATAACGTATATATAGCCATTTTATACTATATATATAATATATATATATATATATATATATATATATATATATATATATATATACATATATATATATATATATATGTATATATATATATATATATATATATATATATATATATATATATATATATATATATATATATATATATATATATATATATATATATATATATATATATATATATATATATATATATATGTATATATATATAATTATTTTTTTTGACGAGGTAAAATAAAAAATAACTGCATAATTTTTACTACTAAAAGTTTCATGCGCTTAGCAATCATCAGGTAAAAAATACATTGTTTTTTTTGTTAAAAAATATACTCAATAAACATCGTGGCGTTCAAAAACAATTATAAAATGTTAACTATTCACAAGCGTTGTTTGCTTTTTTAATCTTTGGGCTCGCGGTTGTCCAGCAAGAATTTGTTTTCATGACGGCACTTAGATATTAGTTCTGTTTTTTTATTTAACAGTGTTTGCGTACGTTTGTATGATATTATGCAAAGTTTTTTATGAAGACAAAGCATTTTTTTGTTACGTTGCTGTAGGCTGGGACTTGTTTAATTATTGACCAGGTTAATTTGGGTGTTATTTTTAAGTTTTCTTTTATCTGCCATATATACTTTGAAAGGGGGGTTGAGTTTTTCATCTTTTTGTTTGTGAATGAGTGTTTGTGGTTAGTCCATCTTTTCTTCCATTCACCTTCTGTTAGGCCAATATATACTTTTTCTGAGGTGTTAGGGGGGGGGGGGGGGGATACTGTACATTTATAAATAATATTGGAGGCTCTACATTTTCCTATTATAGGGGAGTTTTTTTATTTTCGCAATTGCAGGGGGGGGTATTCTTTTGATTTTTTTGAACTGACTTTTATTTTGTGGCTTTTTATAATTTTCGCAATACTTTTGGAGCAGCTGTAACTCACTTTGATGGTGTTTCGATTGAATAGTTTACTTAGCGGGTAGGATGTTGGAAAATGTTTGTCGATTAAGTTTAGGAAGATATGTCCGACATTGGTAGAAACGCTTTTACCATACGGGGGGTTGAACCATATTCTATTTCTTTTTCTTTTTCTTTTCTTTTTTTCACTTTTTTGGGGATTATACTTTAAATTAAAACCAGTGAAGCCATTTCTTCTTAATTCATCTTCGTATTCTGGTATAGAAAAATTAAATGTTTTTTCATTTGAGGAATTTTGTGATAATCTGTCGTTGATAGATATGGGAATTTGCTTTATTATTTGCGGAGGATGGTTGGACTTTATTTGGTTTTTTGAAAGGTCGGTAAGAGTTAAAGGAGACATCTAAGAAGTTGACTGCGGGTAGGTTTGTTTGAAATAACTTTTTATAACTTTAATTGTTATAAATTTAATATTTTTTCGAAGGCTATCAATTTGTGATCCAGTTTTTTTTACAAAGAACTATCAAACCATCGTCAAAATATAGTCCAACATCTTCTTTATTTATTATTTTAGATAGTAAGTCTAATATATATAGACCCACCAATTCACAAACTTCTGCACCGTCAAAACAACCCATTGTGACATCAAAGCAGTCGTGTGCTAAGTTTTTCTTCCATGTTTCGTTGTTTAAAAATAGCAAGGACTTTCTGTAATGTTTAATGACTCTGATGTTCTCTTCGCTAATACTTGTGTGTTTTTTTGCAAACAATATTGCATTACTTAGTATTTTTGATGTAATAGTGGGGTAAAAATGGACAATGTCAAGTTGAATAAAAACACAATGTTGTTTTTCTGGTATATTTTCAAACCATTTGATTGCAATAACTCATATAATTTTTATATGGGTTTTTGCAAATAACTCATATAAAAATTTGCTAACTGTTCAAAAAATGATCGAGTTTTACTATTAATAGCCATTATCAACTAAGGAAGCAAAGGAAAGAATCAGGTTACTAAACAAATTTGTTATCCATAGCAACAAAATAAAAATAACATCATTAGAAGCTCAGATATCATAAAAGTTCATGCTAATTTTAAATTCAAATCCTAATATCAAATTAGCTATAACTTTTGTCTAGTAAAAGTAAATCCTGGTCCATTGCGCCTTGAGCGTAATGGACCAGAATTTGTTCATTAGATGTCATCAATTGTGAAAACAGAATGGTAGTTTTAACATTGCGACCTCACTGCACTCATCGCATGCAATCTTTAGACGTGGAGGTTAATGGTCTTTTTTAGCAAAAATTGCCTATGTGTCAGAATATTTAGCTTTTAACCAATTCGGGGAAAACAATAACAATACATGATTTATTTGGCATATTGACACCAGCATAAACTGCTATATACAGTGTTGGCGAAAAGTATTGCAACTTTTCTAATTTTAACATTTTTATAAAATTCAAAATGAATTTGATGTTTATATATCATATATTCATACAAAAATGATAAAACCAAACAGTAGCACACTATGTAAACATAAAATTATGACGTCATTATAGTTAAACGTGCTGCGTTATAGATTTTTCTTAGGAAACCATACTTGGAAAAAACATAGAAAATTTTCATTTTTTTCGCTTTTTAAGAGGTATAGCTTAATCATAATGGGTCTGGCAAAGGAGATTTCACCAAGAAAACGTGCAATTATTATTCAATATTCGAAGGATGGTATGAAGCAGCGAGATATTTCTAAGAAATTGTGTTTAACTAAGTCTTCAGTTAGTCGAATAATTAAGAAATACAAAGCTTCCGAGTCAGCATCACCACTAAAACGTTCTGGACGACCCACAGTAATAACAAAACGTGATGACTCTCTACTCTGACGCTCTGCAGTCAGAAATCCAACTTATTCAAGTCTTCAAATAAAACTAGACACTGGTTGCGTTGCGAGTACACGAACAATACGTGACCGACTGTGTTCGTTTGGTTTGAGAGCTCAACGTCCATCCCGCAAACATCTGCTATCTAAGCAGCAGCGACAGAAAAGAGTTCAGTTTTGTAATAAATATAAGGACTGGAATGCAGAAGAATGGTCTAAGGTGTTGTTTTCCAACGAGTCTACGTTTCTGCAGTTTGGATCTGTCACGCAGTATGTACGTATACCAGTTGGATCTTGAGATGATATTCGTAACACCTTGCCGGCAGTTAAACATCTACCCTAAATTATGGTTTGGGGATGTTTTTCAGCAATAGGACGAGGATCTCTATACTTTATACCAGCAAAACAGATGGAAAACTCCGTTGAATACCTAAAGATTTCAAATTCAAAACTACGCCTAGCCATGCGCTTGCATTGTTGTGAACTGTTTCAACAAGACTCGGCACTATGCCATACCAGTCGAGTTGTAAAAAAGTGGCTAACTGACAATGGGATTCAAGTTCTGGACTGGCCAGGTAACAGTTCAGATTTGAATCCCATTGAAAATCTCTGGACAGTG